TTCTGTGAACCAAAATCAAAGTTTGGATCTAGTTGCCGTACGCCGTTGTTTTTTATAGTCTCGCAGAAATGGGCTTAGAAAAAAACTTTAGTGTAGACGGCTTAGGCTGTTTGATCCTCAAGTGTGCGTGTAACTGAATAATCGAATAAGATATGTTTAGTACTTACGCAGACCAGCGGCTACTTACGATAACATGTCAAGGAGATCTTCCTCTTCTGAGTCCATCGTCTCGTCGACCTGAGGAGGTGGCGTTGGCTTCACTGGATTTGGTCTCGTGGCCTCATTTTTCACGAGGGGTCTCGACTCTTGTGACGCTGCCACTAGCTTCGACTTCACCTGGATCTTATCTCCTCGCTGCGTAGCTTCATCCACCTCCTCTTCGTTCTTGATAATGTCGTCCATACTCGACAGCAGATCTTCCGCCGAGCTAACCTGCACCGAACTCGGCTTCAGATTAGCGGGCAGGTGACTGTACGCGTCAATAGCATCTCTCTTCGTTCGCTTAGACTCCTCCTCTTCCTCCTCTGTACCCATATCTTCATCACTCTCTTCTTTACTAGACTCATCGCTCTCCTCCTTCCTCTTTAACTTGGCCCCCGTCGCCTTCCTCGTTCTCTTCACCACTGGCTTCTTCTTGACCATTGGAGTAATGCCATATCTCTGCGCTGTTTCTACCTCGTCCTGCAGTCTCCTGATCTCGTCCTTCTTGGCATTTAACACGGCGCAGAAGCCCTGGATCAGACAATCCTCCGTGCTCTGCTTTGCTGCCAATGCCGTTTCCAGAAGCTTCTCCTTCTGCTCCAGCAGCGTCTCGAGCTGTGCCACTCTGCTACGTTTATTGTCAATTAATTCTCTTTCTTTTTGCTGCTGTGTTGCCACTTGATGCAGTAACATACGCCATTTGTCACCACTTTCCGTGGCTTGGAACTCGATGGCGCAGAATTTCATGGCGAACTCGGAGCGCTCCATTAGCGTCAGTGTGCGCTTCTGTCTTGACCATCGGAGCTCGAAGCGAGGCTTTGTGTCTGCCATTAAACTTAGCGCTGTCTCCACCGCCGCCACATACTCGACACCGGAGCAGTCGAGCGCGCGTGGCTTGTGACGGGAAGAGACTTCGGCCTCGTATAAAGTTGGAGGGTCCAGCAGCTGCAAGCGGATAGCAGCCGTCGAAGCGGAAGCTGCAGCGAGACGAGTACAGTGCACGAAGAGTGAAAGTGGCGACGAGGACGAGACGTCCGCGTCCACGACTGCAACTTCTGCTAATGACATTGCGCAGCCACTTTAGGACACAATTTGATGAATAAATTTGCAAATGGCAAAATTTGGTCGGAATTCACAATAGCACTTTCCTTGCGATTAGGTGCGTGTTTTCTGAAAGTGAAGATACGTAAAACTGCGTATATTATACTAAATCATCTACATTGTAATGTTGCTGGAGGAGAATGGAGTCTCTGTTTACAATTTCCATTGTGCTGTCGACTGTGCTAACACCCGCCACTGCTGTCTCAGCAAAAGGATGATGGATGAAGCCGCTGAGCAGGTCATTTTCTGGCTGTGAGACTGATAAGGAGTGTACTTGCGCATGAGTTGCTCTTCTACTGGCAAACAAGAATATAGCAGGTAGCAAGAATGACCTTAGTACCTACGATAAACTCGATAATTGTGAGCTTCAAAGTCGGAGTACTTTCATGTTCTGATGTCACTTCACACGCTTATTGCTGTGCGCTTGCCAGCTGTACGCACCACATTGGAGTATGCAAACAAAGTAGACGATGGTGCTGCGAGCAGGCGCAGGGAGATGCTTTGTCAAAGCTACACGACGTGAACTGAGCTGGTCTTCTTCGTAGGAGCGACGCAAGGCTGTTCAGCTTCAGGTTATTCCTGAAGCTTTGGACAATACCTGGTTGCTTTACCACTTCCTTGAATGCTTGATTGACTTTCGGGTTTTTGAGTGCCGTGGCAACTTCCGGGCTATGTTTCATTCCAGCGCCAAGGTTTGAAGTCTTGGAGAACAGTGACTTGATTCCATTGAAGCTAGGCATCTTGATACTTATCCCTCTCGCTTCTGTCGCTGGGCCAGATGAGTCAGTGGCAGCTTTGAGGTAGCGACGAGAGTCGGCGTCATCTCGTACTTCAGATTCCGACTTGGCCTCACCGCTGATACTAATACCCTTCACAGTGTCTTAAGCGACAACATGCTGTTTGTTGTCTTAAAGGTCGATTTAGAAATGGAAATTGTTCGCCATGTGGGTGGACTGGGAAATTCGATACTGTACCTATTAATACGTAGGCGATAAATAAAAAAGAGACGGAAATATACATCTCTATCGATATAACAATGCCACAGTGTCATTAACGAAGGGACGATGCATGCAGGGAAGTGTTGTGATCAACTGGACAGAGTAGTGACGTAATCAAAACGAAAAGGAGAATAGCAGTCGGTTCGCCATCACTCTGTCTATCAGAGTCTGATTCAGACGGGTAGCTGATTGAGCAGAGGAGTGACCGTAAGTTCCCCACTTCCACTCGGAACACGAGCTGTCTTGGCTGTTGGTACCTGTCCAGGGATGCTGAATATTGCATTTTTATCTATTGCTAATCGAAGCAAAAAATAGATAATTGGGCTAGAGAACTGGCTAGACCAAAATAGATTATTGGTGCAGCAATATTGGTACCGAGGGCATAAGTACTAGGCTGACTGAACACCGCCCAATAGATTATTGGTGATCCGTAACCATGTGTTTTAATAAATGATGCGCTAATTGCTTACAATGGTTCATGTACCGAGCTTATAGCAGTATTTTAGCGGCTCAAGGCTAACATTGAAGTAGATTCTTAAAACTATTAGCTGATTGTACTGTAGCATATTGTCCGACGCAACAATTTTTTTAACAGGAACATCGATTACGAACCGATTTACAAACATAAACCAACGTGAGTCGCCACTTGATTTTCCTGTACTTGCATGCCTTTTAAGTGCTATCTTGGGGCATTGCCATCGTACAAGACTAGCACCTACTGCCCGCTTTGCTGGTCAACTTATTTCTCTATCAAATTCGTCGCTCAGTTCGCAAGTCACTTTCAAGCCCCGACGACAGTTTGCTACTTGTCATGCGTTTTAGTTACACCATTTCGGTCACTACAGTCGCCATCCTTGCAAGTGGTGAAATTGTTGTCCCCTCTGTAAATTCCGAAGAAACCAAGCTCGTGGTTCTAGCACAAGCTTCAAACATAACTGATCAGAATGTTGTCGCTGGCAAAAGGCTTTTAAGAGATGATGGTGCTCGCCATGGCAATTTGTCCGCCCAAGAAGAAGACCGGTCGTTTCTGAAGAATACCCAGTTTCTGTACTGGTACATGATGGGGAGGACACCTCAGAGCGTCTACAAGAAATACTTCGAAGGCATGGACCGCTCCATCGTCGTCAATAACCCGAACTACGCCGTTTGGAAGAGATACGAAGACTACTACAAGAAGAAGACAAGTGCTTAGGAGACCTAAGTGCCAATACGGTGTCTGCCATGATGGCTTCTGTCACGCAATTTGTGTACGTTGAGGCGTAACTGAGAATGTGGTTGATCATTTTAGCAAGGATACGTCATAACCATCACTACTTGTGCTTCTTTTGTTGCGTGTCAAGTACTAACTACAACTGCTGACACTGGTACTGAATTGCTTCTTATTCGTGTTCAAAAAGACAAATACCATATACTCATTGGGGACTGTAGGCTATTTTGGAGGTCGTGTCTACTGGATCAAAAAGTTAAGGAACTACAGGTAGATAAAGGCACCAAACAGGGCTAGGGTGTAAAGGAGGGGTGATACAGTTCATCCGAAACGGAGTTTAATGAATCTGTGCAAGTGCCTTAAATTGTAAGCGCTTCAGAGGTTGGCTTGGGCATGATCTAACTAACTATACTCAGAGCCGTGTTGGTGCTCCCTAAATCATGCAGGGCGCTACCTTGGCGGTAATGTTGCTGCCGCTGCTGGTAGGATTTGCGCGACATGGCATTCATCCCCAATATCATTTTTACAGTGCGTAGAGTGAAATAAAAGTGTTCGTTGTTTCGTGCCCAACATATAGTTTCTTACGAGTTCTTGTTTGGTGTCTCTATCCTTGACCAAAAGGTAATGAAAAAGTTCATGTAAGATTCACAGTGTCAATTGCTTTTTTACGTTACTGAAGCTAATATTATCATTGACTTTACCGGTATCGTGTCCGTTTATGTGTCCATTCCCCATTTGTCTTGTCAGAACTTTTCTTAATAGTAAAATTACAGCGCTAAAAATAGCAGTTAGAAGATCCATTATCCCTGTTACGGAGGAGGACACCCAATATACGAAGAGTTTGGTTATCTCGAGAACGTTATACAAAAAAGACATTTGTAGAAGAATAAAGACAAGTTTCGTGTAAGATAAACACAGCAAACGCGGAGCTATTTCTCGGTGTGATATCTAAGAGAGCTTCCGGCTCATGTAGGCGTCAAATTTCAATTATTCTGATAAAGTCCAAAAGAGACTTGATCGCAAGGAAAGTCGAATCACGGGTGTAGGATAATGCGTCCTAAGACACGTCCTAAACTGTCCTATTTGTCCTAAATTTTACAGGGAGATTTTGGAGATGTGTCCTAAAAAGCGACTAATCCTTCGTTACAGAATATTATAATTTGTGTCCTCCAGATTGTCCTAAACCTCAAATATTAACTTTTTCCGGACTATCTACGTAAATTTACGTAAGAGTTACTTAAAACTCACATTAGCTTTACTTATTGTCCTGGGGCAAACCAACCATTTCTGAATCTCCACTACTGCAGCCAAGCATCATGGACCATTGCGGCTACTCCTTCTGCAGCTAGGGCGCTCGCCTATCTGGCCTCTGCTGCCACCTGCGGAAGCAGTGTCTTGTCCGCTCTGCTCACGAGCGCGAACATTCAACAGTGCGGCACGGACCACTGAGATCCCGGACCAGGCCACCATTGACAAGATGTGCGCCTCGACTGCCTGCAACACCCTGCTCGCTGACGTGAAGGCCATGAACCTGGAGGAGTGCCAACTGCCGGTCGGTGTCGGTTCCAACTTGAAGGCCGACCTGGTAGTCTACGTGCCGTCCAACTGCCCATCGACGTCGGCTCCCAGCCCGGACTCGCCTGCCACAAACGCACCTGTTGTCGACACCCCGACGACGCCAGACAAATCGACGAACCAGGCCGAGCACACTACCGCGCTAACCAAGACCCCCATCGCTTGCTAACCGCGTCTTCGGATCGACTTGCAGCCAAGTAGCCCTTGCGAGTACTTTGCTGCTTTTTGAGCCCCCCCCCCTATGTCGTCACGATCTGATTATTAACCGTCGTTTGCTATGTGCATGTTGAAGTCGCTCAACCGTTATTAGCGGCTATTATTACCTTCAATGACTATCATCCTTTGAAACACTTTAAAAATATTGTCACACATTTTGTAGTAGAGAAGTTTTGTTGAGGTGCTTTTCGCGCACAACCTGCTCTTGGAGAGAGGGGCTTTAAAATGCTTATTGTTTCTAGCTAGGCCAGTTGAGGATATGGCTTGAGGACAGTGCATGTTGGGCTTTATGTTGTCCTAATAGGACAGTGGTCTGAGTTGCAGTCTGTCCTAATAGGACAGACTGAGTGTCCAGTTGTCGAGTGTCCTATTAGGACACGCGGACCCTGGCTTGTTTCGTCCTAAACTCATTGTGTTGTCCTAAATATGGGTTTGTTTATGAGCCGAATTGCTAGTTTTTTATCCCAGGTTTTAGGACAGTAGGACACTTTAGGACTCCTAGTAGGACGCATTCTCTCCTACCGAATCACGAATTGCTCTAAAGCCTTTTCATCTAATCTGGCGTATCATATGCCAGATTAGATTAAAGGCTTGAATACGTCGCGTGTCCACAATAAAAATTCGACCACATGGTATTCGTGTGGAGGCGCGCAAGGAGAGCCCCTACGACTTTCTCTTCAAAAAACCGAAGGCACAGGTCAGCGAGGAAGAGCTCGCCAAGCTGATTGGCGACTTTAAGGCGTGGCCCAGAATGAGGTCTGAGATGTGGATGGGCTTAAAAATAGGCTCATTTCACCTCTTGGTCGGACGTAGATAATACGTTTTTAATCTTCTCAAACTGAGGGAAAGTGGCAAGAATTTCTCCGAAAACCCGATGCGAGGAAAGTGGTTTTCCTATCAACCCAATACACGGTGATGTTATCGGTACTGAAAAATTACTATGACCAGCAGCTCAAGCAGTGGGTAAAGGTGAAGCGATGGACCCCAGCAATCCTGTACGAGAGCTTAAACAAATACCCCAGCAGACCCTAGGAACGCTGGAGTCATGCTCGCGTTTAATAATTACTACTTCAAGTTTTTGTCCTTGTAAAGTCGTAGTATCTTGAAGACATCGTCGGAAGTTTTTCCTGCGCTCCTTCAAAGCGAAAACTGCGCTAGCTCCAACTTAGTGGCGACGCTATTGCGCTGCTATCTGTCTTTGCTGCAACTGGAGCTGAAGCTAAATTATAGTCGTTCGGCGAGCTTCAGAGCCAATAGCTTGTATGGGTTCTCTTTACCAAGCATAGAAACATACGAGATCCACGTGTTTAGCGTTGATTCTTCAAAAGATAGATATCATCTGGCGCTCTCTCTTCTTTTTGGCCAGAAGTCGCGTTGGATCATTCCAAACTTGCTGGCGGTCCTTTTGGGCTTTGTGCGCTTCAACTAGAAACTTGGCCAGAGCCATAATTCGCTCTCAGTGTTGCAAACATTGTCTCCTGACCTGCCTTTTTGTTGCCCTCGTACGCTCTGGCCACAGCCAAAGCCCATGTGTTGTACTGGTCGCTCTCACAGAGTTTCGATTTTATCATCCAAAGCGAAACTCTGAAAAAGAACGCTGACATCACTCCGTTCTTTCGGAATGTTTAACGCCGTTGCGGTTTTCTTCAAGTTCCCGGACTTGCTTTTAAGTGCCGCCAAATGTGGGAACTCAAATGTCTGTCTTCGGAGTTATGGTGGTCAGTACTCACTGTCTGCGACGTATGCTTCCCACAGAGCCGCTGGATTTGAACGCTCGAATCTTTGTTCTTGACGGCGCTCCCACTCACAGTAGACGTTGCATCGCACAGCATAAGTGTTAGCATCAGGAAGCAACTCGTAACCAAGATCAGGTGGAGCCTGGCAGTTATTGACACCGACATGTTTTACCGCAAATGAGAAATGATATTTTTGCTGGTAGCTCATCTAACTTAGCTGCAGCGTTCAGATTACCACATGCTTGCTGGGATTATGCGACACGTTTATAAGGACTACGCGTCTTGGTGTGATTACTGTAGCTCTCAAGAGCTCTCAGAGCTGGTACATGCCCGTTTGCAACAGTCCACATGCAATTACGCCGGCGCGTAGCCTAAGATTAAAGTTCAGATGTATCAGCTCCCAACTTTTTTTTTTTTAATTAAAAGTCCAAAAAATCATTTTAAAAGTGTCCATAATTTCATAACTTGATCAGTCTTTTGTTACGATTATCATACATGTAGTGTGATGCATTACAATTAGGTCTTGCACTTGACAGCAAGTAAACACTTCTCGTCCCATCTCTTCTTGTAGTATGCAGCAATGCGGCGGCCATCCTCTCGCAACGTTTCCCACTCGGCACGTTCTTCCGGCTTGAGAGAAGGTAGCAGGTCCCTGGTCATGTGGAAGTCCACTTCAGTGTCGTGCAGCATCATCGAGTCCGTCACCAGATCATAACGAAGACGCTCATATCCACGCACAATTGCCATTTTCCGCAGCGGGTCATTACTGAAGACCACACGCTCTCCAAACGGAATTTTCCGCTTCAGCGAACGTCCAACGCCAGTCTGCGGGAATCCTCCCATCGGCAAGCCAGTAATGTCCGCGAGAGTATTTAGAATATCGTACTGCTCTGCTGCGTCGTCGAGTACAAGCCCCACAGCATCGCCTAGTCGACCTTCGGCAATGATCGCGGCAGCCACACGCGTCACAGCTTCCTCGTGCTCGTTAAACTTGTCAATTTCTGGCGCTTGGCCATGGTCCCCCAAGATGACAACGACCGTATCGTTGAGGATTCCCTCCTTCTCCATGCGATCCATGAACTTGCCCAGCTCCATATCTGTAAAATATCTCACTGTCGTGTAGTTTTTGACCCTATCTGCGTGTAATTCGCCCTCGTACATGGCTGAAAAATCTGGTTTTTCGGCCTCTTCGTACCACTTGGGCCAGGATTTGTACGGCTCATGACTCGAAATGGTATAGTGGGTGACGAGCGTGGGCTTCTTTGGCTCTCCCTGGGCCTCTCGATCCATCTGCTGTTGCCTCTTTTCCGTCGTGGACTCTCCAGACCAAACCTCGTCGTTCGTCACCGAACAATCCTGCTCTCGTGATATTTAGTTTCTTTTCCGCAATTTTCATCATTGTGTACGCGTCCCACACGTTATCGTAGCCATGCGACGGGAGGAAGATCGAATCCATGGAGCTAGCTCCCCCACAACCCCGAAGATTGGTGAATGAGCACTGAAGCCGCACCCGGGACACGTCAGTTCTGATCAGTAGAATTCTTCGACTTTAGCGCACGTTGTGCGGTTCAGCATCGCCCATTCTGATGTTACGGCGACGTCTCCTGAGGAGACTCTTCTCGACGACTCGTCGCTCGTAATGCCGATCACTTTGTGTGGTCCACACAGGATATTAACCAGGGTACATGTCTCCGGGGAGAACGAGGGAGGAACAGTCGAAGAATGTACAGATATCATGCACATGTATTACACGTATACCATTACCCCTATTAAACTTTATGTGCTGAGCCCAAACCGTTCTAAAGAGGGTATTTCCTTTCTGTCGACGTCTGAGTCCCATTGATCGCAGTAGTATGCCTCGGACGTCACTACAACTGATGCTCCTAAAGGAAACTTGCAAAAGAGAGTTCTTGTTCGTGGTGGAAACGATTTCCCTAATGTGACCGGAGTTTGGCGACTGGTGAAGCAGGAAGAGACTAATCGTCAAAGCAAATTCCTCAGTTTTCCACCGGAAGCAACCAACTGACATCGGTCGCGTAGTCTTTACCAGCACGTTTCATCCTCTAGATGAAAACGTTCTAAGTACTGTACTGCGAGTGGGAGATAACTCCAGCTGCTGTGCCATTGATGGAGATGGGACTGAACGAGTTTTTATTCAGAGATCTTACGGCAAAGCTGTGATACCTTTGACAAGATCTTGCTGGAAGACAGCCCTCTGTACTCGAAGTAATTGCGTAATTACTCGAGCTTTGACAGCAAACTGCTTGTTTCAAATCCGGCTAGACTTTTGTTCTCAATGATGTTTTTAAAGCTTTAACTACATCTTTTTAGAATCATTTCGCTAAACCCATTAGTCAACTCATCGGAAGACGCGCCTTAAATTGATGCAAAAGCGCCGTATAGTTTCCATCCGCCAACGTTTCGTTAAGAGCGTCCATAAGGTAGCTTGGATATCCACTCCACTTCGAAAGAGTATCGATGTCTGTCTGAGCACTGCCCCCGTTCTTATGCATCAAATTTGCTAGCAATCTATATCGCATCGCTTTCGCACAGCTGCGAGTTACGCTCATTGATACTCCATATTATTTCTTACCATTACTATGATAGAAATACTGAGGACCGAAGTCGGATTGGATTACAAATTTCACTGGGGTAGCCGTCATTGTGAACAATTGGCGACGTTAAGAGCGCGATTTACTAATCCAACAAGTGAAATTAAAGACGATTGGTAACAATATGTTGAACCTACTTTTTGGCATATTAAAGAGCATTTTGAAGTTGAATAGGTGTAAATATTATTCTTATCTATCGTCTATTCGGTCTCGTTTTGTTTTGCGTATCTAACCAGCCATTCCCCTACCTACGGTTTGAGTTCTATTCCAGCACATTTAGAAATGAGAAGAAAAACAACCATTAACCCTTTCGTTTCCATAAAAATACATAGAGTATGATTTAGCAAAAGTGGGTGGGTCTCTTAAATTATCCGTCCTGGTTTTGTCAAATAGACTAATCGTTTATTGTATTAAATAACGTATTACACCGTATTTTGATATATGAAATTCTCTGAGACGGTGGCAACCCAACTGTCGCAAGCACCAATATCTACCACTTAGAACGCAAGCGTAGTCTAAATTTCACCTCAAATTTTATTGTGTCTCTTACGTTACGGTGTTGTGTGGCACACCGAAGAATGCACTCGAAGCCCTCGACGAGGGGGGAGGGATACATACTAGCGGAAGCGCTCTATAGTGATTTCAGCAAAGAAAATCATTTGTTGGCGTCTAACATCTAAAAGATAGGGTAAAGATTCCCCGAGGCTGCCCTCATTACGGAACCGAGACCGAGACGTCGATGGATGGAATCACTGACTGAGGATACCGACATACGGGTCGACGATCACGTAGCGGTGGCACGTGCACCCGCGGATAGGGCGAGTACTGCGATTCAGGCGATGAATACGAGTGCGTTGTCGGTTCCGGAGGGGCAGCAACAGACGAACGAGGTGCTTTTTGTCCATGACCCGCCGGAGATGACGACCGTCAACACCACCGTCGTCGACAGCAAGCTGGGACTCACGATAACAACAATCGACGGCCACACCACACGACGGAGGTGGCCATGGCGCCAACCTTGGACGGCAAGACGGATCTAGAGGCGTACGGCATTTAAATCTATGTGACGACGACATAAGATGCTAATGTCACAGTGAAATCAAGAAGAACAAGATCAAAGTCGATGGAAGCGTCGTGCAATGTGTGAATATTCTGCGTATGGCAGTAAATGCAGGAATCCAACCCAAACGGAAG